TTCTTTGCCTTCTCTTCTGCCTTTGTTTCCTTCACAATAAATTCCTCATCATCGTCATCAGTCAAATCTTCATTTTCACCTGCCTCAACTTCAGACCCCAAATACTCCTCCTCAGAGCTCATTTCACTTGATGAATCAAAATTTACTTCATCTGTCCCATCTCCATCAGTCTTTTTTCCATCCCCTCCACTATCTTCTACTGAATTCTCGTTATTTGTCTTTGAATTCTCTACACCTGATAAATCTGCTTTTCTTTTTCCTTCCGCTGCATCATCTCCTTTCTTTTCTTTAGCAGAAATTGACTTCTGATTGTTGCTTCTTGCTTTATTTCCCTGACTTTCATCCTTACTGCTTAAACTGGGTAATGTTCCACTCCCTTTAGAACTGTCATCTGTTTGTTCTTCAACTGCAGCTGTGATGGTGTCCAGAACCAAACTCTTGCTGTTGTCTTGGCCTGCAACATTTTGGTCTGATCCTTCAGTTTGTTTGGTTCTGTTCTTTATAGGTGTTGAACTGTCCATGTTATCACATGGGGGGTGTGTTTCTAACAGCAACAGCGCCAAGCGTAGAGTAACTTTATGATGCTGAAGGTGTTTGAAAAAGGAGATGATGTCTTTCATCAGTGAGGTAATATCTGCATCACAAAGTGAGCATATGACAGAAACAGAAGTGTTATAGGTCTGAATGTGGAAGAGGTCAGTCCCCACGAGATTGGTATCCATATTTCGAATGGCATGTCCAGAGATAGAACATGCATGTTCTAACTTAAGGTGAGTCACAAACCTTCCTTCCCTAGTCGACACAAGTGCTCTGCAGTAACTACACACACGCACACTGTGATCTGTCAAATAATGAGCAGAAAGCTGAGATTCCTGAGTGAACATGATATCAGTTAAACATTCTGCAACAAGGCAAGAAAGACTTCCATGTTCTCTTGCAACATGGGAGTTACGTGATGTTTTACTATTAAATGTCCGGTCACAAAACTTGCAAAGAGCCAGTCCAGTATTATGGCGACAGAAGAGATCGTGAGCGAGCTTTGGCACTTGGACAGAGTATGGATTTGTACACACGGTGCAACGACTTGGGGTTGTTAGTGAAGGTGAACTCGAACTGCGGCGATTTTCTTTATGTTGTTGATGATGATGTGATTCTTCACTGCTTGCAGAGATCCCTGAGGTTTGAGAAGCATCTACATTGGAAGTATTGTCCGCTGCTGTGGCCACAGATTCCAATGACTGCTGCTGGGTTGAGTTTTGTACATTTGATGACCCAGGTGCAGGAGTTCCCTGAACCGAAAAAACAATGCCTTCTGAAGCAAGAAGCTGGATGAGACAAACCAATGACAGACGATGATAGGAAAAGAAATGCCCAAATGTTTCCAACCTTTTCCTTTCTTTACCACACAGTCTACAATTGAAAGTCCAAATAGAATTCCCTTCC